TCCCTACAATTCTGTCTGAAAGTTATCCAGGGCAGAAAATACTATCCACCTGTCACACATTTAGCATAACCCAGACAACACCTGAAAAAGTTTCAAATTTGACAACATAGATAGAGTCTAACTATTTTTTAGAAAGGAAGATTATTTTTATCCCCTTCTAAATAACATCTAGTTTCTGCCAGTTTTAGGCTCGGAAGCTGCTGACATTCAAGTACGTTAATGTCCATGTTTACCAAGGTCATATTCTTCTATGTTCTGGTAACACTTAGTCATCACTGTCATTCGTGGAACAGAGGATAATCGGCCCATTGCTACAGTATTTAGTTGACTATAAGACAACACCCCAATAATTAGATTCTATATATGAAATATTTATAAATTTGTTATAATTCTCCAGGTATAGAATCTAATTATTGGAGGTTTCAATCTAATTATTGGAGGTCTGACTTTGTCCCCCTCTCACTGCTACAGCTGGGAAAATAAATCTGGAAGGTCAGGTTGCCCCCTTGTCCTATGCCCCACAGCTTCTTACCCCTGCAGCCTCTTCCCCACCCTCCTTTCTGTCATGCCCTGCTCTCCCTGAGCACATGGAACTGAAGGGCAAATTTGAAAACACTGACTTTGAAATGAACATACCTGGAGTATTTTGCATATAGGCACATTACTTAAGTTAATCCAGAATTGATGCATTTCACTCTTTTTGAACTTGCTGCAAGTTTTACCACACTTTTAAGTAGCACTTTTGGCACCTACTTACATATAGTATGAACTATGCATGATACTAGTCCAAAGCAAAAGGCTCATGGTTCACTGGTTCTGAGGGCAAGCGAAACTTGGGAGTATCCGAACCCCAAGCTGCTGGGCTTGGGCATGCATGTAGGATGCCTGCCAAAGGATTTGGAAGCATCTGAAGCCCCAGGTGGGGTGGAGGATGTTGCCAGTAGTAGGGCCACTTATGGTTCTTGACTAACTCACAGATTTGGAATTGATTTGGCTGGTTTGGATTGGAACACAAAAAAGTCTCTTAAAAAAAGATTCCTATTAATACGTTTGTCCAATTTGGGCCATGTGTTTTATGGTCATGCCCAGTGTTGGCTGCATTTAAATCATCTTCTTTGTTGGTTTCTATTACTGATCACATGGTGCTTTTGGCAGCAGTTTAATGATAGACAGTATATTTAATGACATTTCCCTGTATGCAAATAAGGGGAAAAACCTCATCTTATTGCAGGTGTAGGTCTGATTTACCATATTTACTCAAATATGCCTTTTCCAGATTAAGAAAAGAGCAGATTTAATTTTATTAGGTTTTAAAATCAATTTTAATCTACTGGATCTTTAATGTTAGAGACAGCGTGTTTCATCAAATATTTTCATCCACAGGAACATTGCTCATTAACACCTTCAACTTTTCTTTAGTGGTTACCAGCACATTACTCCTGTTGACAGTCAGCTGCTAAACATAGCACAGTGCTCCATGAATTTGAAAGAAAGAACGGCATGCTTTTTTTTTCCTCTCATTTTCTGAAGAGTGGAAAGATCTAACTTTAATTAAAAAGGGGCATAAACCATAACATCAGAATCTGTGACACAAGTTATTATATTTTATAAGTTCTTAGAGGCCAGGATTTTGGATAGCACTTTTAAGTGCTTCAATTCATCCTCATTCCAAATAATATACAGGTTTTAAACATATGCTTAATGCTATGTCCAACTTTCCTGATTTGAGACATGACAGGGGACTGAATCATGACAGAAGTTGGAATGAAGAGGTATTCTGTCTATCAAGGTAACATCATCACTGGTGACTGTGATAACACTAGTGGGGAATCCAAGCTCACCTGCTATTCCAAAATTAAGCTGAGGCATATCTTCAGTCTTTGCCACTTTTTTGGGGCTTGGTAAATCTTTCACAGAGTCTGATGGGAAAGCCCACAGTTTCTTCCTGTTTGTAACAGTGGATGACTGGGTTTTCACAGGCTTATTTGTTGCGGGACACCACTTGTAGCCAGGGTTTGCCTTCATAAATGCATCCTTGTACTAGGAGAGAAGGGAAACATGTATCAGCAAAGGGGGAAAGAAGCAAGTAAACAAACAAAACACAGTCTTATCTGCTGTGGCTATTTGATATTTATGAGACAATGGGAGAATACCTTCTTTTTAAGATGGCTGCATTTAGTGTGTAGCCTAGCTTTGCCTTAATCTAGCAAAAGCACTGATCATATACTTGAAATTCAGTTTGACTACCAAGACAAACTTTACAATAGGAAAAGTTGGATTTCAAAATAGCAGTTTTGATCCTCATCAGGGTTTACCATTGCCAGCACATTTTAGCCTTGCTCTTGCAGCCTCACCCATACAGAGAGTTTTCCAGTGCCCTCAAGGAGCCTCATGAAGATCTCCCACTCCTTGGATATAATGGGACAGCCATTTAGATTATACTCATTCACAGATGCAATCTTGGTTTGTTTTCCTACTGTTAAAAACATACATTTGTAGATAAACGTGGCAGGATTACACATCTCCTTGCTATGCATCAACTTTTCTTTGGACAGCTTAGCTTTTGAGTTTATCTTCTTTTCAAGGCCAGTTATATTTCTGGGAAAATAAATGGTTACTGATACCATCTCATTTTCAGTGGCACTTCATCAGATAATTTACCTCATGCTCACATCCAGAATTTACAACCCTGTCTGACAATCTTTAGCATTAGAATACATTGTGGCTGTTTAAAACCTTCTGTAGCCTTGAGCGCACAGAATACATGTTACAGTAAACTAGGTACATTCTTGACATTTGACAGCAGAACCAACTTAGTCACTCTATAGAGACTGATGAAAAATCTGACTCAAATGCAGTTTGGTACAGAGCTGCATCTAGCATATCTGATGATTATATTTTAATATTATTTGGTCAATAAAATAAATGCAACTACACACACACAGTGTGTGTGTGTGTGTGTGTCACACACACACACACACACTGTGTGTGTGCGCGCGCGCTTATTTTATTGACCAAATAATATTAAAATATAATCATCAGATATGCTAGATGCAGCTCTGTACCAAACTGCATTATATAGATAGATATATACATAGATATCAGCACATTTAAATTACAGGATTTGTCTCGCCAGTAAGGAAAAAGCCAAAGCAATGTTTGTAGTCATGACCAGGGATCCTGGTTTTCTCTTGTGTGATATTCCTACTCATACACTTAATCTGTCTTGCGGAGCTTTCATAAGCAAATAGGAAACGAGGTTATGGCATATTTAATATAAGATATACAATAAGAAAACAAACTTCTCTGAAAAAAAATTTGAGGTCATATTATATAGGAACTATGATCTCTCAGTTTGCTTTGTAATCCATTCTTCAATGACTAAATATCCTGGTTCAAAGATGTCACTGGAAGTGGTGAAAAATAAGCAGATGGCAGGAGAAGACAGATATCTAACTTGTGGAATTTTACTGGACATAATGCTGACCAAATGGGAACTGAGAGAAAAGATAATGGAACTGATGACAGGAAACTACCTTTTTGAACCAGTACTTATGTAAAAAGAGGTGAGAATTAGCTAGGTATGTTCTGTGTGCTACAAATCAGGAGTTTTTATTTACAGCTACGAAATACCAGATTAAAGAGAAAGGAGGTGGGAGGGGGGAGGGGAGGGTAGACAGTTAATGATAAATAATTTTCCATTCCTATAACTGCTCCCTTTTAGGGTAAAAAGTTACAGTATTATAACACTGCTGCTGCTTAAAGAGAATTTTGGGATCAAGAGAGATAAAAAAGGGTGCATTCTTCGGGCATGCAAGTGAGCATCTTTTCTATGGGAAGTACCCTTTTGCCAAAAGTACAATAATAGTTATTTGCTATACATAAGCTCAAAGGAGGATCTGGGAAATTGAAAAAAAAAAAAAAAAAAAAAAAAAAATCAGTGGTGGCAAGGTAAAACAAAGAAGATCCAGCTCTATGCTGACAAACATGACATACATAGCTTTTTCCAGGCAATGAAAGCCATTTACAGCCAATATCCCACAGTTCTACTTTCCTGCGATCCCAGGATGGCTCAGCGCTCCTCAAAGACAACAAATCTATCCAAGCTAGATGGAAAGAGCACTTTGAGGCACTCTTGAACTTTGGCTTAACTGTGACAGATACCACCGAGTCCATCCCCTGACACTCTGAAAGGGGATCCCTCACCAACCCTCCTGTCTTAGAAGTCTGGTGTGCCATTAAGGAAGCCAAGAACAACCTCAAGGCTACTCGATCAGATGGCTTACCTGCTAAAACCTACAAGGCTGACAGTGAGAACTGGCTCCAAGACTCCATAAATTTATACTCCGAA